GTTACATACTGGGTTTTTGCGTGACATCTTTGATTACTAAAAATAGCTCTCAAAATAACCAAAAACACTAAAATAGCTATTTTAAAAATTTAAATTGCTGCTTTCTTATTAACTCTTTTTTTTATTTCATTGATTTGCAGGCCATTTAAGTAAAAGCAAGATTTTCTGGAACTCGAAATATTACCATATGTATTTTCATATGCAAATTAGTACCTTTACAAAACGATCATTTTTATCATGTGCAAGTATTTTGTTTGCAATAAAATTCCGAGTGAATAGTAAAGAAGAGATGAGCTATTCAAAAACATAAAAATTAGAAAGAAAAACTCTTTTTATCTTAATAACATACATCTAATGTTGATTAGATGTTTATAAGCTTTGAAAATTGTTCGGGTAATACAACTGAGAAAAAATGTCTTTTCACTAATAATTTTGACTAGAATAAGTTATTCGTACGAACCTAAAAGTGATTTGCCCAGACTAATTTTTATTTCTTTGTAAAGCTCGTGTCTTGCTTAGTTATCAGGCCGAATTTAATTGCAAACAAAATACTTGCGCATAGAAAAAATGATCTTTTTTCCTGCGATGACCTCGATGATGACAATTACCACAGACACTTTTTCAATTGCCGACTGGCGGCGGCTCGGGAATTTTCACATCCATCGAGTCGATGTGCAATTTCAGCTCAGACATGTCTTGTTTAAGTTGGTCAGCTTTACTTCCATGTCTTTATTGTGCAAAGCTTTCACAGCATTCTGTATGATATTCATTTTGCAAAGTTATCAACGTCAACTTTGAAGCAGGCGTTTCAGTCGTTTCGCGCCAAAACCAAATACTCTGAGTTTAGTACTTTTTGTAAGTATTTATCAATTGAAATCTCAAGACTCACCCTCTTCGGTCCCTCTAAAATCTGGCTTTGTGGTCGTGCAGACTTATTTTTAACGAAGTCTTTCTAATTCATATCTTAAGATTGCTTTCGTCCCAAGCAACATACGACCAAACATCATCTCCAGATCGTCGTCGCGAATGAGTTTCATTTTTTTTGGAGTTGTAAAGAAGTTGGCTTTTTATTGTAAATTATCGAAAAACTTTCCGAGTCCAACTGATTCTTAATAGCTGAATCCATCCATTCAGTAAATTCTTGATCGTCCGCCATTGCTGATAAAGCTACAGCTCAAGTTGCGAACATTGTTGCCAACTTCGATACGRAATTCACGCCGAATTTGTTAATTTCAGTGGCAACTTGGCAAGCTGATTGGGTCTTTGACAATGAAGCTGTCAACTTGGCAAGCTAGTTCCCAAGTAATCTGGGAATTGATGCGGCCAAAGTKTCGTGAAATCCACTGTAAAACTTGTTATTAAATGTATTAACCTGTACTGTATTTTTGTAAATTGTGTATATTCTTCTCGTCAAAATTCAAATCCCCAGAAATCTCTTTTATTAGAGGGAATTGTAAATTCACTAATGCAGCAAGCAATTTGAAAGAATATCTCCATGACATCTGAGATAAGATGGCACAAAATTAAAAATTTTAAAATCTTTCATTCAGTCTAGCATTGGCTCGCTCAACGTGTATTCGGCACTTTGCAATTGACTTGGTTACCTTAGCTTCACTTTCGGTGAACTTGCCATTGTCTAGAAAAGGGGGAATGTTTACTGCGACCCCACATGGCACTATGCTTTCAATTAGGAATCCCTTATCTGCTAAAATTAAGTCCCCTGTCTCTAAGTGTTTTAAGAATCCTGAATTGCTTAGAATTGCTTTGTCTGAAATAGACCCAGTGTTGGTGCGAATAATTGTTAATGTTGTTATCTTTTCCTAAGTTTAATGTATTTTGGTCTTTTGTTCGAATCGTTTTAAGTATTGAAAAATAGTATAATTAAGTCAGTTCACTTCACCGTTCAACGGAACTCATGACAAACTATCTTGTAAGTATTCTTTTAGTTTTTCGTATTTTGCCCTTTTTTGTATTCGCTTATTGACTTTTATAATGTAACATTTTAGGAACCGTTCGTTCGTTCGTTTGTAATTAACGTAACAATGTGAATAAACGTCAACAACGAGTTCAAGAAGTTTAACTATTATACACAGGATAAAGAGGACTAACAAATGTAATAACTGAATTCGGAGCAACACACACTAAAACTTTAAATATATTCATGCCTCTATATCTAGAATAAGTTACACGTTGTTGGCTCATTAGCCCAAGAGTAGCAATTTCTATGTCAGTACAGGAAATCCATTTTAGCCTCCCTTTCAATTACTTATATTCTGAAAGTTGTAAATCCATTATAGTAGAATTCTATCACTGGCACTCCCCCATTCTAACATAATATTATGTATTTCATAGCCAAGTTGACAGGTCTTAACTTAACATAATTTTATTGAACTTGTACAAAAAGTACATAAACAAGAATATAACTGTTGTCAAAAGTCTTTTAAACTCAAATATGTTAAGATATTGAAATCTTAAAGTCAAAGTTCAATATAAGTGTCCAAATAACATGTTAAATCTATTAAGAAAGGAAAGTTCCAATTTAACCTTGGATAGCTATGTCTTTTACTATTTGGCCTTGGTGCTTAACAGTGAAGTTCTTAAGCTTCTTGAATTAAGGAATAAAAGACGAAATTCCGTGTTTGATACTCTGATCAAAACACGCGGGATGTAGGGAGAACACGAGAGAAGCGTAGGAAACCACGACGCGTAGCGTATAAACTTTTATTTCACGGGTTCAATGCCCGTTATAAATTCCAAACAAACAGAGAAGGATCGATGTACGGAAAAGCATCAATAACTCCGCCGAATAATCAGTCGTTACAAAGATGTATTAAGTGATCCCAAGGGGAGGCATACAAACAAAGGACAACAAATTGCAAAGAAGAGATTTGTTTAATCATTCAATCATAGTTAACCCTTAACCATGGTTTTGATTTCCTTTTGGGCGCGCATCCTTGATACGATTGAGCTCCCTGCAGTTCTTGACAGTGTGTCCAGGGAGATCGCAGAAGAAGCAAACAAACTGACGCGCCTGGCGATTTTACGGTTGTTGATTGCGTCCAGCATACCGTTCACGGCTGCGGAGAGTGCTATAGCTATTGTAGCCACTGCCACTACTGGAGGACTGGGGGCATCTTCGCTCTACTCTCTCAGACTTCCCGCTAGAGTGCTTGAGAAACTTAGTCGCTTTCTCCAGTACCTTGCTCTTCACCGGATCGCCTACTAACGCTGTTATCAGGTCGTTCAAGTCCGACGAGGGGAGTGTTTTAGAATGCTTCTGGATTTCATCTAAAGCACACTCGAATTCCCTGGCTCTTGCATGGTTGTTAAGCTTTGCGCACTTGACAAGGGCCTCGAGGTCGAGTATCGCATCTTCGAAGTCGACATTCGTCTTGTCCAAGGTTCTGTGTAGGCTCTGTGACGCTGAGGTGACGGAGTCCTTCGACTGGCCCTGCAGTCTTCTCAGTCTTTGCTCCACAGTTAAAGCACCTTCCTACAGGAAAGCAACGAGGTCTTTAGAAAGAAAAATTCTAGGCAAAATATTTTATTTCCTGGGACACCAACCTTATGCAAAACGCATCAGGGCAAATTATACAAACAGACCATATAAACAAAACGATGAAGCTGGTGCGAGCGGAGATATTTGCATAGGAATGTAAAGCGAGTAAAATCAATGCGCAGTTATAGCGTCATCATACAAATTTTAAGTTTGTAAACAATATGAAAATCATCCGATTTACCGCCAGCATAAAGGGTCCAAACGTAACGTAGAATTTACGGGAGTAAGCAAAAACAAATCAAAACCGCGGACTCACCTGTTGTTGGTCTCTCCAGGATAAAGACGCAAAACATCCTCTACTAACCAAATGCCGAAAAATCAGAGTAGCACAGAGCTAGCCTCACCGGGGCATAAGAATGTTAGGCCTCTCTCGGTCAAACGGTGTCATGATAGTCACCGTTAAACATAAATAGTAGCCTCACCAGGGCTTAGACATGTTTGGTCTCTCCCGGACACAGAACTGCCAACGTTAAACATAAATAGTAGCCTCGTCAGGGCATAGGGACGTTCGGTCTCTCCTGGACCCATAACCGTGTCATAACAGTCACCGTTAAAACATAAATAGTGGAATGAAACCATTCACACTTGGCGACAAGTCGTGGAAAAAGGGGCTCGTCAAGGCACGCCTAGATGGCAGGTCATACGTAGTAGAAAATGAGCAAGGGACGCAGCTGCGTCGAAATCGAGTGCATCTGAGGGCGTCCAACGAGTCAACTCCAAGTCAATTACAGACGCCACAACACATGGACCAACAACCTGAGAACAATCAGGAACAGCTCACAGCAGAAGGGGAACCGATGATCACACGTTCTGGCCGTGTAGTAAGGAAGCCAGCATATCTCAAAGACTATGTTACAAGCTAGAAAATGATGTTTATTAATGTACACCTGTTAGACTGATATTAATGTAAACGTGCAAAAAAAGACTGATATTAATGTAAACGTGCAAAAAAAAAGGGAAGGATGTGACAATATGAACATAACGTTATTGCGTGACACAATGTGACACGATGTCCCATATGTGTTAATTTATGCAGTTCGAKTTCAGTTTTAGTATGATTGTTTAATCGTGTAGTTCAGGAGATTAAAGCCTTGTTTAAGCGTCGATTGTTAAGCCTCATCTTGTTAAAAGATTTGAGAACGACTACGAGTACGAGTTCACGTCATTTGGACTTCTGCGCATGCGTAAGGACGTGACAGCGTCGCACCATCCCAAAATCTCGTTGTGTCGTTGCCATCCTCTTTCACACGACGAGTTTTTCTTCCAAAGTCGTTGTGTTGAGAAGGAGATTTAAAAAGGTAAATTTTTGTTATGTCAAATGCGAGGGTATATTTTCACATGAAATACTAGTTACGTTGCAAATTGAATGAATAAGAGTGTTTTGGAATTCTAGGTGAAGCGGACAGACAATAAGATTACATAATACAAAGGAGGTCGAGAAGTAGAGAAGTGAAAGATGGCCCAACAACAAGAACAACAAAAGAAGCTGTTTATTTGGAAAGAGGCAAGCGAAAATATGCTTTTGAGGCTAGTTATTGTTGAAGAGACTTATCAATTCAAGCAAGGGTCACGACAGAGGGGAGCCATTAGGTTGAAGATAGCAGAAGATTTGCAGAAAGCTGGTTTTAAGGTGACACAACGAAGTGTGCGTGAAACGTTTGACAAAATGTTGAAGGAGCACAAAAAGAGGGAAGCTGAGGAGGCGAAACTAAGCGGGGCCGAGAGAGATTACGGAGAAATATATCAAGCAATAACGGATATAGTGGAAAGAATAGCAGAGTTTGAAGTTGACAGAGAAAATGAAGAGAAAAAGCTCGAAAAAGAAAAGCGCGACGCGGAAGACATGCGTAAGAAAGCCGCAGAAAAGTTGGGAGAGACAAAAAAGAGGAAAGCTTCGAGTGGAAGTTCTAGTTTATACGACAGTGTTGAAGAAGACTCAAAGAAAGAAAAAAGATCCGCGGGTAGGAGTGGCATATTAGATGTCTTGAAAGAATCCACTTAAAAAGTGATTTTATTTTACGAAACATCGTAAAAACAAATTTCATGTTACTGTTTCAAAAGTAAAAATCAGTTTAAAAGCTTGTTTTGATAAGTTGTAAAAGTTGTATTTGATAAGTTGTATTAAGCTTATCTTGAATCAACCAGTTTTTCAGTACATTACATTAAGTCAATTGATTTATTGACAATATTTATACATTTCAGAAATGACAATATTTACAGCCTTTTGCAAAAATTATGAGAATTGTCGAAATATCTAAATATCATAATATCGAGTGCATGATTGGTAATCCCGCGCGATGCCTTTAGTCCCTTGTCTTTGTAGTTTAGGTTTTTTTTGGCGACAGACTTATCCGTAGTTCTGAACATTTTCTCGATGTCAACAATGAATTATTCTAGCAAACCCGCGTGTTCCGGACAATATATGGATATGGATATTATGATATTTAGATATTTAGACAATTCTCATAATTTTTGCAAAAGGCTGTATATATCAGAATTGACAATTTATATATATCAGAATTGACAATATTTATATCAGAATTTTTATAAAAGATTTTTTTGGTGGCTTTTTGGATTAATATTGATTATTTAATAAAGTTCATATCAAACTGAAAAGAGTTTCTGATTTAATATGCCATTGTGTTACTTACTATATAGATGGCTTCGGGGTTTTCAATAGCCATTGATTCATCACTTAAAGTACTCTTGAATAGCTGGAGGAGTAAAATTGAAGTAAGTACTGGTATTATTACCATATAAACAAGTAAAAGCATTGCGCAGCAAGCTACATTGTACATCTTTCCGACACGAGGGCTTAGTCCTATTTTCAAGTTTCTTCAAGGTGTTTCTTGCAGATGATTACGTTCAAGCATAAATTACATTTTTTGTTTTCATTATTATATGATATATATATCTAAGCTTATAATAAATACTGTCTGATGAGTGCATATCATGAAACGTGGAGTAACAGCAAATCTTGCCTCTTTGATATATATAATATATCTTAATTGAAAAATGGGAAAATATCTCTAATCAAAAATTCAAAATAGTCCCCCTGAATTATAATTTGTACAAAAAATAACATCTATTAACTGAATCAAACATAAGTTTACAATGGTTTGATATGAATGGGGTTCAACACAAGCAAAAATCAAACTTGAAAATATTCCTGAAGAGTTGGAGGAGTAATATCAAAGAAGGAGCATGTTGAATTTCCATACAAACATGTAAGAGCATTTCTCAGTAGAGCACAAATTGTATACATTTTACCTACAGGACTAAGTCCTATTTTAAGATTTTTACGATAGTCCATAAATGCAAAATAGTTTGATATGTCTCCAAACACCCATTCAACAGCCACTCTGCAACCACTCATTGAAGCATTGATTTCTTTCTGTACTGCTGTTAGYTGTCCATTCTGATACTTGAATGTGCACTTTTAGAGGATAAGCCATGCCCCCATAGATGCAAAGTGGCTGACCAGTAGGAGAGTTGGAATAAACTTGCAGCTCATTGAGAAGGCCAGACATCCTAAGAATTCCAGCATCATGCCGTTTACCCTCTAGGATGTAAAGGAAATGTGTTTTTAATATTATGTTTAGTAGTAATATGTTCAGCATTTAAGAGCAAAACATAACAAAACAATTTCATCTTGGGAATTTCATTCTACACATCAAATTCTCTTTTGATAGCATTAAATGATATAAAAAATACTGGTTATATCTTTTAGTGTGATTAGATGTGCTTAAAAATTCATAATAATCAACAATTATGCTCACAGAACTCAAGCGAGTGTGATCAATTCAAAAAGAGTCGGTCATTTGGAAATCAAAAGGCCATAGTTCTTCAAACATACACTGACTAAAGACCATGCAAACTTTAAACCCACGGCTATCACAGGCAATGAGGCCATGACGATTATCTGAGGCCTTTTCAAAGTATAATAATGATGATGATGATAATAATTATGATAATAAATATTATAATTAAAATTACCCATTGAATTAGGAAAAAAATTGCATTAAATGCACTCATTTGATTCATACACAAATCAAGATAAATATTGATTTGTTTTGATTAATATTTGTAAAAGGCTATGCAATTATACCAAATAAATAGAATGATTTGTATCCTTCATAGTATGAATACTTTTGCTTACCTACAGGTCCATATAAGTTTGCAATTAATCCATTGGGTGCCACAACAGACTGAGATTTTAAGGCATGAATTCTTTTATGCCCGTTATACATGATTCTCTGGTTCTCCCCTGGGCGAGCGATGGGTCTAACTGTACCGTCGATAAACCCCTAACAGTTTTCTAATGCTGCTCCTTTGGCGTGTATAGCGTCGGCAAAAATCTGTAGGTTATCTGGAGAAGCCATGGTTGATCAAGAGTTTGTAGCATATATCCGTGGTTGTCGTAGATGAAGTCGCAAACTTCTAATGTAATTTCGCACAGTTCTGGTATTGATCTACCAAATCGAGGAACCATATCAACGTAACGACAATGGTATGCAAACCTCTTCAGCACATCGCAAAGACCTTCCATTCCTGATGCCTTGGTTCCATTTGAACAGACAAAGCTATCAGGGATATCCAATACTTCTGCCAGAAGTGTGAGCTCCGTTTTTCCTACTCGAAATTCAGATTTACATTCATCTTCGGTGATGTTTTCGAGGTYAAATCTGTCATATTGAGAATAAGGAATTCGAGGATTTTTTTCATTTAAAGATTCATAGAGTAATAAAAATTCAGTTTCATCCAATATTTCATCTATAAAAAGGCTTGCAAGGCAGAAATTGAGGTTTTTTCGGCTTAAAGGGACACTGTCAATGGCATGCATGCCATTCGACTTGTCGTCGAATCTGAAGCTCTCTAGTAACTAACATTAACGACGGGGTACAAACACTTTACTTTGACCACCGTATAAAGGAAAGGAACATGTTATTTACCGCCAGTTGTGATTGTGCTAAGCCAGCCTGTTCGGCGACCACGGGTCCTGGAACGGGGGCTTGGTGAGCTTGGGGCGGATCCGCTTCCTGCATGGCCGGTTCTTGTTGGCCGCGAGTTAGTTCATGGGCATTTTGGTCCTGTGGTGGAGGTAACGCTTGATGCCTTGCTCCGTTCAACGCGTCTTGTGTGGCCACGGCTCTTGGGCGCTGTTCACCAGGCGGTGGTTGGGAAGACATGGCGTGCTTGTGTTAATTTCGAGAGCAGAATGGAACCGGTATGTGTCCGGTGGTTTAATCGGAGTGAACAAAGCGTGCAGATCACCGCAAAGCATTGTGGGATATCTATTGTTATGTTAATTTCATGCTTTATTTCCAGTAGTGAAAATACTATTTTATTTGGTCATTTTTGTGACAGCTTTATTCATGAGCTCAATTAATTCTTTTTTACACTTCAAAGTGTTTATAAGTCATGACTAGAGTCCCACCTGCAAAAATTCTTGATAGAGTTTTAATCACATCAATCCCGTAATAAAAACTTTCTACTTTCTCATCTAAATGCAATGCCATATCATGACAAAAATACATCAGATTTACTTTTAGCTATAACTAAACTTAGTTATATATGATATCTCACTGAAAATATCATGTTAGAATTTGCTGATTTTTTTTTTTTTTTTTTGCTGACACCATATCTTATGACTTTATATATGATACCATCACTAATATATTTTTTTCTTTCTGTGAGTACTTAAACTGTACAACTCCAAAAAGTATACAAGTGATGCTATTAAAGATAAGGATATATATTGTATTAGAGACTTCAATGTTTTCCAGACATGTTTGACCCAAACTCATAAGGCAGTTTACAATGCCCGCTAGATAACTTATACTGGTAATTTAGGCATTAAATGAAATATGTGAAAGTCTTTTATCGAGAAATGAAACAGGCAATCTTTTGAATGTAAAGCTGTGTACTGATCTTGATCTGAAATAGAAGAAAACAACGAGTAACAAGACAAAAGGGCACACCATGCAATAGAATAAAAATAGAAACATGTTGACAACTACTAACAGTACTTGAGGTGAACTATCCAAGGAAAAAATCTACAATAATAAATTGTCACGCATGCATATATTTGCAATACTTCCATTGGAAATGTTTACATTATGTTTACAGTTTACATTGTGTTTACAGTTTATATTATGATCATCCCTGGATATGTTTAACTTTTTATTGTTGTTTTTATATATGTGACCAAGTATGCACACAGAACTTAGGTTTGACTTCAACTTCGACTTCACTTAATTTTTTTCTTCGTGTTAAATTGCCGTGCCACAAAACGGCGAAAACTACGATAAGTAATTAATGGAAACTATTAATTATTATCTTCTGTTGTTTACAAATGCTTAGGATCTACCATTGACACTTACAAAACTAGCACAAACATCTGACCAACCTAAAACACTAGTTTTACACTACTGAAAACTACTTAGTGTTTCTGCTAAACACTACCACTACTACTATTACTATCAAATCCTAGTTTGATTACTATAAGAGTAATAACTTACAAAACAACAACAACTGGCACGGTTGCATTTAGCCAACCAGCAAATCTACAGTTTTACATTTCTTTATGTTGTATTGTTGTTGTGAACATACTCATTGTGACTATCTTACGTAACACTATACGTACGGAATACTTTTACGTACCAATTATCTTGAATATGAAGCAAAGAACTTGAAAATGAGTGATGCTCATTGTACTTCTACAAAAAACTGAACTTGAAACTCAACAGCTGTTGAAATCGTCATAAAGATTTGATTTTTAAAACGAAAGTTTAGCTCGTGCTAAAACTAACGGCGGGTGAGCGCGCTTAAGAAAACTAACTAGCAAAATGGAAGCGAAACTTTATCTAAAGTTCAACTTGTCAGATTTTCCGCTTAGTTTTGAAGACATCAATGGAAACACGTTGGGTTTCAGGATTTTACTATCAGATAGATATACAAATACATAATCTGAAGCTACAATAAATGACAAATAAAGCTGATTATTATTCAGTCTTTCAAGTGGAATTGTTCGCTGTAACCTTAAAGTGCACATCACCCATAAAAATGTATGGAGGGGATTGTGGACAAAAATCCAATGTTATATTTCGCACTGATCAATGTGTCGTACCTACATGCAATATATATTATATCAAGGCAAGAAATATAGAAATTCACCACATGTATCGTAATTTAATGAAATATGTGTCATTGTTAGTAGTTCTTTATGTCGTACCTCATGCGATATGTGACAAAACTCACTACCGGGGGATGGGTCGGCTGTCGATTTATAAGCTTTTGGGTTTCCTGTTTCCTGGAACAAGGCCTGCCTGCTCTTATGGCGATTGCAAGATGGCGGCTCAGGGTCAGCATTGAAGTGCCGAAGAATTGATTGTTATTTTAATGCCAAAGAAGTTATTGTTGATGTCCTCCATCATTTAGAATCTGGGTCGCTTAACGATGCAAACTTAGACTATTGTAGATATCGTCTGGAGTGGTTAATTTCTGTGTTTGCGAGATTTGGTGCAACGCTCAGAAATGAAGAAACTGTGTTATGGTATTTACAGACTGCTCTTTCTCGTTTGGCTCTCCTTGAGGATGACAATCAACCAGGAAACATGTTGCCATCTTTGATATGCTCTAAGGATAAAGGAAGGCCAAAGTTTAAGGAGGATCAAAATGGTTACCAGAAAATGCATATATGCCATTGTATTATAACTATGTATTTGATCCAGATATCATTTTAAAGTTTTAGAGTTAGTGGTACATATTTTTGTAAAATCACCACTCTTGATGTTGCCATGACAACGTCAGACGCTTGTAAAAAGAACCCTTTTTTCGTTTATATTACTCGATATCTCCGCGGTGAAAACGTCTATAATGTCATATATGGAAATCTCCTTATTTGATCTTGTCACTGACAAAAAAAGAAAAAAAATTCTGTAATGCGAAACCTTAAAATTTCACAGAATGCAGTTTTTTCGAGATAAAAAAATGTTTTCATTACATAATTTTTTTTAAAATCGGTACTTGGATAAGAATATACAGCCAAAGAATTGGGAAAAACCACCGTTTTGTTGTCGAGTTATTTAGGACTTTGTACTCTGTACGCGTCAGAGGGGTCTTGTAAAAATTGTCAAAGTGCGCATGCGTCGCACTTACCTCGAATACGCTGTTCGAGAACAAACTGCATGAAGTTGACAAATGGATGTGTGGACTTTGAAAATGTACTTTATGTTTTCTTTACCGTTCCTAAGCATTATGCTTGAGAAAAATAATGGAATAGAATAATAAGCCAAGCGTGAAAGAGGTCATGCATGGTAATTTTGAAATCCTGGCAGCTTTCAACGACGAGACGGATGGCGGCAAAACAACTACTGCATGCAGTCCTCTCTTTCCATACTTATTGTAGACTTCAGCAAGATGTTGATAAGATATCCCTTGAATTGTCATCTTCTTTACTATTCCGAGCTTAAGTGGTCCTCGGTCATATAACCTGTCTTGAAATGAGCCAACTAGTTCGTTGCTGTGATCTAGTATCGTCATGTCGCCGAAGGCATCCGCTGCTGAAATGCTGTTACAGTGACTTACAAGTACCTTCCGACTTAATTTMATTGGTGAAGTTGACGAAAAGAGAAGTTTAGAGAGAGCCTTTGTATCTTCAAGAGCATCATGTGCATCAAAATCTTCATTCATGAGTGTCTTATAAAGAGTTGCCAAGTTTTCCTTCTTCGGCATTTGAATATCGAGTGGAGGATGTTTCTTCAGGTGGCGAATAATAGAACGGCTCTCAGCAAAGTATACATTCATGTCTTGGAGTTTGTCGGCAAAGCATTTTCCAGCAGTACGAAGAAGTAATGGAGTGTCAAATAGTTCAGAATTATGGCCAATAAGGATGGTTATGTCTTCATGTTGTCGATCCAGTGATATAAAGTCCAGAAATTCTTCGAGACATACTTCTAATGGTACGGTAGGTAATTCTTGGTTGTTTTTGTATAGTAGTCGTGTACCATTCTTTGTGACGACATGTAGATTATTTATCTCTCTCTCTGACTTCTCCCTCAGGGACAATATATTTTGAAAAATATTGTCCATCTTCTTTGAAAGCCGGCAACTGACAAATTTCAGCAGAACGACCTAAGCATGTGGTTTCGAGGTAAAAGCAAACAAAATGATATTGAGATTTAGAATTGTATTGAATTTGATTTTTATTTGGCCTGGCGTTTGGAGCTGGAAGAAGTTTTTCAAATTAATGCTTTTCTTCTTCTTTTGAATTGGATCTTAGATTTTCTAATTGCATCTTTTTCAGACTTTTAATCTTGGGAAACACAGTAGGTTTGACAGTGGACCACAGGCTTGATGTTTATGGATTCTAAGGTGTTGCTGATGTATTTGCGTCCAATATTCTTCTGTGCCACACAACAAGCCACTCTAAAATCATTGCTCTCACTTCCTCCATAGTACCTTATTTTGAAGTTTTTCGATCCAATGGTATTATTCAGTGATTCGTTTCGCTGTGAGTTTTCTCCAGGTACAATCTTTTTAGCAGCTACATCTGAGGCATATTCATCAAATATATCAATGAGTGCTTCCTTTAGTGACTCACCATGCATGTCTTTGCCATACGGCAAGTCACCATGTTTGTATGATGAACATGTTAATGCTCGACACCAGCTTGGTTTGCAGAAATGGGAATAACCAAAGGCATGTGGAACTATTGATTGTATTCCTTGTTTCAGACCTTCTGTTTCATTTTATTTTGTGATATAAAATAGCTGAAACACTTTGTTAGGTATGTGATGACCTTGTTTGACAGTGGTGTTGCACCTGGGAATTTCCTTCTATTACTTAGGTTGTATAGCCTTGTACTTAGGCTTCTTTTTGTGTGATATTGGCCTGAACACTTATTTATTTCATAGGGTATGGTCTTTGTAAGGTGTGCCATTGTTGTACTGTCATCATCACCAACATATGTTGAATACTTAACATTTCCATCTTTAACTGAACTGCTGAATAATTCACATGCAACATCTGATTCCATCTGAAACTGACGCTCATTGACATCTTTTAGTGTGCGTTTGTAAGATGGTGTTTTACTACTCTGAGCATGCTCACTACTTTCAAGGAGTTTCTGAAAGGCAGTTCTTCCCCAGTTTCTTGAAGAGCAGTATGGTTCCAATATGGTTCTCAGTAATCCAAAATATTAGTATATAAATCAAGCCGAATGTAGAATTGTACGATGAAGCACTGTATAGTAGGCTCAAAGGATATGACGTTGTAGACTTATAGATGTCATAAATATCATGTGATGTAATGAATTATTTACGGACTGGTGTAATTATTTCAACTTCCGGTGGCCAAACGCGACATGACACACACATAGACAAAAAGGTAAAACTAAAGTCGGGCCCCCTTCGGGTAGCCCGACTAATAAAACATGTACAATTTTGTAGGGCATTATTATTATTAATATCTTTAATAATAAGCAATAGTTGTGGTTGCACTAGGATTTCTACCCATGGGCTAACACCTTTTAACCCACGGTGAAATCGTATCTGTGTGTAACCGATTAACCCGAGGTGAAATTACCTACGGGCTATCTCCATAGATACATCAAAAAGAACAAAAGAATAACCCAAGACAGTTCCCGACTCAAGTAGTAGGGTTTATCAGAAGCCCAAAGTGTGTCTACCAATCAGAGACCAGATAATTTCCAAACACAGGAAATCGCATGTTGTTGTTTTTTTTCTTACGTGACCTTTATCATTCTTGATCAGTCTTGGCATCGAATATAGCTAGTTTCCTCTCTTTGCTGTGGGTATTAAACCACAGATTTGAGCATTTAAATTACCTCGTACAAAGAATGGTAAAATGCTGTTGGTTTCAAATATGAAATAAATTCCGTTAGATTGAATTTGTTGTGTTGCAGTTTTTCTTCTTCGTCTCAATAAGAAATACAAATGCGAGTTAGAATGTGCTGGAGGTTGTAAAACAATTAAAAGAACGACTGACATTAACACAAATACTTTACGATCTAACTCCATGTTTACTAAGTTTCTGTTGAATTTTCAATTCGATACTTTAATATACGATGCTCAATGCTTCACCATATGGGTTTCTATTTGCGTGTGACGGCAAACGCGTGTTCATTCAAAGCCATTAATTATCATGCATTATGCACAAGTATATTCATACAGAAGCTTACCTGATTTAGTGAAAGAAGCACAAGTGCTCTCTCTGACATGCACGGCAGCCTTGGCCCACAGTTGATGTCCAGCACGAAAGCTCGGCCATTGAGTAATGCCTTTTGAAAMCAAGAAGTTCACTAACGCAATGTTATCCTCCTCTTGCCAAGTAATGTACCCTGATCGCTTTGGAGTTGACAGTTTTTCACACTACAGTAAGATCAACAGAATATGACTCGTGAAGCAGTGAAGGGACATTGGTAACTTATATGCCAAGCGGTCAGCAAAATATACAAGAAGGCAACTTACTGCTTGAAATCCCAAGCTTCTTCTAGTTTTTATTGGAGATTTTTTGTCTTTCTTGGAGGAGGGCTTTCCAGGTGTATTCCACCAGTTTTATGTGGCCTTTTGGAGGAATCCTGGTCCATCAGCAATACAACCTAGAGTGAAAATCACACCTAAATACCAACATTTCGACATCGCTATTTTGGTCAAAAACGTGGGTCCATTTACCTTTTGCTGATTTCGTGACAGTCACAAGGCATTCAAGTCTATCTTTATGTAAAAATATGTCAAATGGACCCAATCATAGACGAGATATGAACAATATTTCAACCACAGCAATGGTGTGATGCCCATAAATGGCGTCCCTTTTGAGCACTATTATATCAAACATAATAACTTAACATACACTCAGAACATTCTAAAATTTCCATGGTAAAACATAGAGTGCAAACAATATATCCGTGAAACACTAAAACTAAATAGTTAAATTTAGTGGAAATTAGTGAAAAATAGTTGAAGCGTGAATAGACTAAATTTATAGTGCACGTGCAATCAGCGTAGTTTGCGTAGCGACTAAGGCCGCTGCTACGTAGGCTAGCCGAGCGTAATTACTACAATACACAATGAAGATCGTTTTTTATTCGTTTGCGCTGTAGTATAAAATCAGAACACAGCACAGAATTAAAGCTAAAATAATCACAATAGGCAAAGGAAATGGTTTTTTAATCCAAAATCAAGACAAGACACATCTAAATCTATAAATGGAACCACAATACGCAAGGAAAATCGTTTCAAAGTCGTTATTTCTTTGCGCTGCTGCAAAATCAAGACAAGACACATTAAATGCAACCACAATACGCAAGTAAAATCGTTTCAAAGTCTTTATTTCTTTGCGCTGCTGCAAAATCAAGACAAGACACATCTAAATCTATAAATGCAAACACAATACGCAAGTAAAATCGTTTCAAAGTCTTTATTCATATGTGTGTAGTTTGAAATATGCATATCCCGAATACAAATGTCTTTGATCCCTGATTTCTGCGCAGCAGTTTTCCCGAGCACCATTTAATAATCATGATTAGATCTATCTAATTCTAAACAGTCATGCATAGCAATTAAACCTAGTTTTTGGTACCGAGGATATACTCGTGTGTCTTGCCGCTAAACCGCTTGGGTTACACAGTTTTTTCGAACTCGAACTCCGAACATCTAAAAAATGCGCGGCGAACTTCAAGCCTTCTTTTAGGGGATCATTCTATACACTAATCTGACTGGGATATATAAGAACATACATTTTACCTGGGCATCTGATGAATATTCTACGTAATTCTCCAAGCTTTTCTATAATGTCTGCGCACTGTTAAGGGTGAAATCTGAATGAAAGCATTAGAAAAGCACAGTAGATAACATTGCATTGTCCTTTAAAGCACCGGGCGTTTTCTTAGCCATCGCTTTTGCCAGAGCAAATGCCATTTCGATAGGATTGAGATCGTAACTGTAAGCAGGCAATTTGACCAGAGTAATATTCCAATTCGTAAGCAAAAGGTTAGCGAGCTGTCTATCATTGTGTATACTAGCATTGTCTGCTACCAAATAGGAATTTGTGGGTAGCAAAGATAAGACTTGGTTAATAATGACATCATTTACGAGTAAAGTGTTATAATTACCTTCAATCGGTATGGCGGTCATAACTCCTTCGCGATAGCTAACAACGGCCAAAACTGAATGACTAGATGATTGGCTTTTAGGCTCTTCGCGGCCATAAGCTCGTATGTCCATTTAAAGTTTGTTCATGTAATAAGTGTGCGTCACACACTCAGGTCCGAAATCAGGAAACACCTACTCCGGAGGCACCAACTGTAGCTTTTCCTTCTTTACAGACAACAATTGATGTTGCAAACAAGGTTAGTAGTCAGAAGGCTAAAAGGCAGCTCAGCGCTGCGGGAAAAAAACAAGGTAATTCCCAAAATCTTAGAGCTGTGGCAAATTATTGTTTGGGGCGCGAACAAATAATGCRTAAGTTTATGACAAGCGTTTGTGTTCATCTCCCGCGGTAAAACTAGAAGCAATGTCTGGTCATCTTGACTGAATGAATATTTTATGTAGCGCTGTTTATCTTTTCACATTATTTCTTTCGAATTCAGTACACGGAAATTCTAACGAAACAGTCCATGCTTTGTTTACGCGTAATTTAACTAAAAGCAACCTGATTTAAATGTAGAAAAGTGTCTACATCATTACTTACTTACTAATCGTAATTATTATCATTATTATGATTATGATTGATTATTATTATTATATTTGCTTATAGAAAAACAGCTTAAGCGATTACCGTCGTCTTTAATTGTTAGACAGTTCATTTATAAGACGTATAAATTATTTGTGTATTAACTCTGTATAGAACATTGTTGCCCAKGTAACGTCTCTTCATGTCCGAACAATGCAACAGTAACTGAACTGTAAGAGAGTTTTCGACTGATAGGATTGACTTAGCTAAATCAGATTGTAATTAGTTTGTTCCTGTTTCAACAGGCGCCTTCAATTTAAGGTTAAATTCCATCTGGCGATCGCGACCGTGTTCTAGCCTTTGTAGCTTCAATAGCTTAAAATGTTAAAAAAAGCAAGAAGAAAGCAAATAATTAATAATATCATATCGCGGTGTAATAATTCATACAAAGAATATCACTCATACATAAGTAAAGAATTAAACAATGTACAAGTGGACCATAAATTGTGTTTTAGTCTCATATTTCTCCCTAAAAATGTAACAATAGACAGATAGAGCTACGCTCTTTTGCAGCTTTTGCGTTTCAGTGACCAGCTATGAAACGTACAACGCACGCAATTCGCGGTTCAGTGATCACACTAAATTAAAATTGGACTGAATTTAGTGAAATTTAGCACAATTTAGTAAAATTTAGTTTTAGTTAGTGTTTCACGGATATATTGTTTGCACTCTAGAAACTAATTCCTGRTACTTTATCTTAATTACTTACCTTTACAGTAGTATAAAAGGTTGTTTGAAACCAGCTTCTTTGAGTATTGACCACATGAAGTCCACGAAGCCAGAGTGTGAAAAGACTCCCCCGCAAAGCTCCATATTTGGCATTAATTTGGCSCCTTTTCGAATTTTGGCCGTGAGGAGAATGGGGAGAAAGTCGAACATCCCCAAAAAATATCAAAAATCTGTAGAATATTCTTTCGTGCTCTCATGGCTCTATATATTTTGCTAAATTAATGTCTCCGATTTGATTAGTAGCACTTTAATGATGGCATAATGCAATGCTGAAATATGTTAAGATTAAAAAAGTATATCCCTGGTGCTACTACGAAACTATGGTAACTATATATACATTAATTATACATCTTACATTACATTGAGAACAAAAAAAACACCCTCCCTCCCCTAAAAAAGCACTTTTCTCATTCTACATTGAATATTCATAAAGTAAAATACAAGTTCTGTTGTTGGCTGTTTACTTGCATTCAGTTGACATCCTGCATTGGTTAATGACCAGGTGTCAAACCTGAGACCTTTGCTAGCGTCATGGATTTTTATATCTGATAAAGGTTGCCCTTATTAGTATTCTTTATATAAAGCATACTCAGAGGAGGGAACAGTAGTACCCCACAATGCATTGCGTTTCAGACTATATTACCGGTTTTTATGTGACGTCATCACTTGTTTTTTGGTCTTRGCCAAGTGAAGATCAATGGCGGGAAACTTTGACACGTTCGTCAATTTCATCTCTAGAATTTCGATATTAGAGATGAAACTCTCAAAGATTCTTTTTTATACATTCGTTGTGTAAGCAATAACAATTTTCAAGTATCGATAAAAGGACTTGTTGTTTTAGACCTGATTTGTCGACAAGCGGACAGTTTTGTAGATAAAATCGATAAAGAAATTGTCAAAGAGGCGAGTTGCTTTGATTCCTGTCGCTGTGGRCGATCAAAAGGTTGAAAAACTGTTTGATAAAATAAGTCCTACTTTAGTCCGTGTTTTTATTTCGTCAGATTTAGAGGTTAGTAAAAACTTGTTTTACAATGTAATTGTTTGAAATGACTTGAAATGAGCTTAGAACTGGAGTCCGGCTTTGTTGTTAAGCCAAAGTTGTTGTTTTTTCATTGCAAGAAATTGTGTTATAAATAAACAGTCAGTCTTACTTTGTCCATTAGTTGTTTGCTTTTTGTTTTATGGTATTTATGGAGTAGTGTTTTCAGTTTCAATGCTGCATGTAACAAGAAACCAAATGCGCGATTTGTATAGTAAGCTCATTTTAATAAGCTTACGTTGACACGAGTTTGTTCTTTTAGACGTTCTTTTATATTGAAAATCGTTCAAAAAAAGCTTCATACATATACTAATGTGTACTTTGACACTCGTATTTCAGTGTGTTTTATGTTCATTTTTTTTGTGGCAGAAACTGTAGCATAGTCTCGCTGATAGCGATATCAACTTTGCGCCTAATCAAGATACGCGATTTCCAGAACTTTGCAAATTTCGATGGTTTTCAAGCTCTATTTAGCATTTGAAATCATGGAGACTTTTTGAGACTTTTTTGACTGTACCTTTGTATGACTTATTTTCTATAGATCTGACTTAACTAGACTTAAATAGCTCAAAGAACAGGTGTAAAAACAGCACTTTTTTGAACCGATCGTCATATAATTAGAATTGAAACCGCGAATGTCAACTACAAAACAGGAATTTTCTCATACGTAAAACAAACATRACTACAAAAAAATTAAGAGACATGCAAAGAAAATCAACCAGACCGCAATTAACTTCGGAACTTCCCTGGTTAAGATGCAAAAAAGACATCTTTCTGGACCGTAAACTTACTACCAGGCATATCACCGGAAATAGCAGACATTTTGTCAACAAACCACGCGCGCAAAGCATAAAGGGATACTACTGATATCTCCTCTGAAGCGTACTAATAAGGAGTGTTTTATTAGATATAAAGGTCCATGCATTTGACCAATTAGGCCTAATAACTCATTAATCATATAATGAGTTTTTGAAGAATGTACCTGTATATAAAAAAATGAGTACTTAGTTATAACAATGGAGCATCCGAGTTTAGATTGAAGTCTTACTACAATAGAAACTTTTGATAATCAAAATATTTTTGATAATATGCATATGATTACATTCACTTACCGTCTAAAAGTGACTGATTAAGTGCATGTTCCTCCAGAATATCTGCAATGGTATCATCAATTGTGTATGATCTAAGCAAAGCTTCAGTAAGGTCTTCAATGTCATAATCTTCATAATGTTAATATGTTATTAAATGCTAATATTATGTCAAACATAGAGCGGAGCAGAGCATCATATCTAAGAAAAAATGGTATACCATCGAGTCGATTTTCCATKGACCGACACAGGGTTCCCGCGCGTACGCACGTTTCCTTCCGTCCTTCCTTCCTGGATTTCGTGTACCACCACAGGAACCCCATACTCCGCTAGAAAAGGAAACAAAGTGCCAAGTATTTGTTGAAAAATCGAATTTTTTTCCTTAAACATTTATATTACATATTGATAATATTAGAACAATTAATAACAACGAAAAAATCCACTGAAGAGCGAAATAACAGCACAGAAATATTCCCGCCAATTTTGTCATAACTTCAACGTGTCCGCACATCCGGGAAATCGATTTGCGAAAATGAAAAGTAATTTAGGCMCATCTTAAAAGTGATATTAGAAAAAAGGATTTTACTTTGATATTTCGACAACAAGAAAGAGATGATACTTTATTGAAAATACTTCAATAATATGGACCAATATGGGAAAAAGCAGGGATCTATGCGAAGTTCTTTTGTCGACTAAWAGTGTKKACATTTCGAAACCAAGACCATGCTAGCAGTTAGATTGAGAGAGATTAAAAAGAAAGAATCTACAGTCTTGAATAACTTAATAAATTGATAAAACCTATGCTTGAAACAAGTATGGCTCTGTTGAAGATGACCTTTGAACGATAATTTATCGGAAGTTCGATAATGAAGGTAAAAAATATATTTTTTGTGAACAGTTTTCTGTGATATGTGAAGTTCGAGTAGTCCGGGTTCAAACATCGATTATTGAAACAATGTTGATTATTGTAAACTTATGTATGTAGACTACTTTTTGCCGAGAAGCTTTCAGTTTACTTTAAATCAATTGACCTTTACAGACTATAATATTAAACTTCATCCAACGGAACAAAATCTACCGAAGTCAATATTAGTAGGAACTAAATTCTCATAAACATACTCTTTATAATATTTGTTCTCATGTCAACAAAAATGTTGTAGCTCACATTCCTTAAAACAGAGCATCTACCTTTGAAACAGCAGTACTAGATAATCATTTTTAACTTCTATATTGCTATTGGAGCTCCGCTGTTAGGTGTTACCTAATTTTTATATTAATTATTTATGAGTGATATTAAACGTACAGTTGTTGAAACTGAAGTTGTAGTAAGGGGGTTAGTTGGGAGCTACGACCCTGGTCAGCGGTCTGCGGTAGTCCGTCCAGCTCCGATCTTGTTGCTAACCTCCGACCTTGTTGCTAGGGTGCGCCCGCGGTCCTTGTGACCGTGAGAGGGACTGGGTCCGAACCGGAAGTGAACTTTTCTCAAACCAGAAGTGAACTTACACGATATTGTTGCTAGTCTCCAACCTTGTTGCGAGGCAGCGAGGCAACCACACGAGATTTGATTTGACGTATGGGATCCCTGTTTTTCGAGCGTTGCTAAGCGTTGCTAACCGCATGGGGTACCTGTGCCTTTACCTCCTGGTGAGTCCATTTTGGATTTTACTAAAAATCCTGTAAGTTTTTTACTGTTTTTATGCACGGATTGCTTTTACATTGCCGAAATATATCGTGAAGGAAGTGGACCAATGGTCTCCACGATCATTTTCGGTTGTTTTATCGAGTCAGAAAACTACTTTGGCCGGTTTATCGAGTCAGAAAACTACTCAAACTTCTTATTTTACATCAAAGATACTTTATTTCTAAAGAAAATGTAAAACTTTACAAGGCTCTGGTCTAATGTGAAGAAGGAAAAGAGGAGCAAGTTTTTCAAAGTTGATAAGAATAATCTCGACAAACAAAAATAATAGTTAACAAATAATCAAAAAATCTTCTAAGTTTAGTGGATTCTTGATTTGAAATTGTTCTTGTTTCATTATTTGTCCTTTACCCCACATGAGAGATTTATAGAATTGCTCAAAAAGTTGCAATTCAACTACTGGACAATGTAGTCCTTTTATGTGGTGGTCACAATCGATATAATGATGGTTGGGTGTGATTCGTTCCACTTTCGGACACCCGATGTCTTCTAGTTTGAAGCTAGGCAACTCGATCTTGTTGAGCAGTTCTTTTTCGTAAATTCCTCCTTTGTAAGCCACTACCATGTCGTCGTTTTTCAAAGTGAGTAATATTTTTGTGGCTAGTGCCTCGGAACGAGGCTCAAGCCACTATGCTATCGCTTTGTAAGTACGTGGGTATGAATGTAATTCGGCATAACTCCACTTTCACTCCGGTACATTCTCGTTATTGTACGGATACATTCGTTATCTTCCGTGATAGCTGGGCTTCCTGTGTAATTACGTCATAAACAATGTGATGATGTCACAACTAATGCTGACTACCCCTCCCCTCACAATCATTATCTACAACTTACTTAAACCACCCCTCCCTCACAACTGTGTTGTCCGCGTGCACGCTTCGCTGTCCCAATGCCCATTCGGGCGCGTATCCAATATATACAACGAAATGAACGACTTTTCATCCATGTGGGATGTTATATAAAATCATTTTTCTTTCTATTAAAGGAAGCCTACTGAGTCTACACATTTCAAAATACAATATTATAATATTCACTCGATCTATAATTATAAATTGTCTTAATGATTTAAATTGTTTTTGAGTTTTTATATAGACAGTATATGAATAATGACAGCTGACTAATTACATTAACATAGGATCTTAATGTGTTTTTGTACTTTTTGTATTTTTTTTTTACTGTTTTTTTGTTTTATCATTGCTGATAAATCAAAATTCCAAAGTTTTTCGAGTGCAATTATCAAGGATTGTTATGAAAAATCGTCAACGTTCTAGCTAACCGAAAATTACGATAACTGAAAAATTATTGCAACAAAGATTATTTAAAAGACTGAAATCTCAATCACATCACCGTTTATAAGTAGAGAATACTCCTGAAACAAATTTAAGAATTCAGAGACTCACTAGATGAAACGACTTATCATTCTTTGACTTTATCCAACGGCGGCTTATTTTTCTCGTTGACTGTGATCGACTGCTGCTTTAGGCTATAAGTCGTTCTCATGCTGGTTTTCTTGACTTCAGGTACATATTATTTCTTCTTCTTTTTCATGTTAGTTGTTGTAGTCTCACTTGCCAAGCAGTCTTCATTTAACCAGGATTTGGCCATTAAGTATAGCGAGATGAGTCGAATGGCTCACCAGACCAGCCTAATTCCAAAAATTACACTGGACATCTCCTAGTGCAGGCCTTACGTAATGTTTAAAGGCGGACAATGAGGACTTGCAAGGACTTTGAAATCCCGTCAAGTCCAAATTGGAGGCCTTTGAACGACTTCAAAAACTCATTAATTATTCGGGAAGGATCTCAATCTATTTTTGGGTTTAAAAGACARTTTCTTCAACCTCATACTCGCAATAAAGAAAATTTTAGATACTAAAAATGGTTTCAGTTTTCAAACAAAATGTATTATTGCAATTGTTAAACACAAGCATTTTTCGCTGAATGAATGTTTTCAATGCAATAATTGTTCAATGTAGGACTTTGCATGATTTTCAGTTAACCGTAAAAGTAAAAAGCATTACATCAAACAAAGAAGAGCATAGAACACAAGAGAACAATAGATTCACGAATTATTCGACACTCAAGGGAAAATAGAGAATATTCACATAGAATTGTTTCCTTTGTATTTACAATCTATACTGTTGTGGTTGATATATCATTGAAAGTACTACTAAATGCTCGTTTGTCACAAAAAGTCATGGTCATTTTCAATCCCTCGAGATTATGTTAGAAAGTCATTTGATTTTGAAATCATTCATACTTTTCGAAATGGAGAGTGAAGACGACTTTCAGCCGGCTAAACGCTTTCGAAAGGCTCGAACTACAGAAGAAGAGAAAGAAATGCTTGAAAAGGCAATACCGAAATCAACGAGGTACAAGAACACCTGGGCCTTCAAGCTTTTTGAGGATTGGAAAAGCGAAAGGGCGAACAAAACTGCTATCCTGGAGGCATCAAGTGTTAACTCAAAATTAGAAGAATTGGAGAATCTTGACCATGACTTTATTCTCATGAAGCCCAAGTCATTGAATTTCTGGGTCGGGAAATTCATTCAAGAAGTCACGTCTAAAGATGGGAAAAGATTTCCGGGTGCTACTTTGTACCAAATTGTGGCGGGCCTTAAGAGATTCTTAGAAGAGCACAACAGAAATGACGTTAACATGCTTGACAAGCAAAAACCCGAGTAAGTGAATGCTCATGTTAATATCGAAATATTGGTTAGAAATTTATACTTCTTTTTTAATATTATTATTATCTTGGCTTATCAAAGTTTATTTTTTCAGTTACGCTGATTTGCGGAAGATTTTGGATGCTGAGATGAAATCCGCTCAAAAAGACGGCATTGTGAGCAAGAAGGAGGACAAAGAAGCAATATCAGAGGAAGAGGAAGAGAAGATGTGGTCTCAAGGTCACTTTGGAACAATAACAGCTAAGAGCTTATTAAATACCGTATATTTTTATAACGGCAAAATGTTCGGTTTGAGGGCAAATGAGCACAGAATGCTAAGATTACGTGATATACAAGTAAGCTCAAATATGATTACATATAAAGAAAATACATCTAAAACCTTTCATGGGGGAATCAAAGATTTAAAAAAGAAGCCAAGATTTGTAAACCACATTTGCCATAATTAGAGTAACAAAGACCATGAGAGATGCTGTAGAATTTATTTGAAGTATTTTGAGCTTTTAAAGGAGCTAAGGCCTGAAGTAAAAGAGAAAGCTTTTTATTTTCAACCGTACAATGATAAAGTAGCATTTAAGAATTGCGTTGTAGGCGTTCATAGTCTTGGAGCTATTCTTCCAAATATTTGTGAGTCCATCGGGATTAATAGAAAAACCAGTCACTCGTTGAGAGTAACATGTGCTTCTAAGTTATTTAATCTCAACGTCGAAGAAAAACTGATCAGAGATCGAACAGGCCATGTTTCAAATGCCTTGTTTAGTTATGAAAAGTCCAGCTCAGCACAAGAGGAAAAAGTTTCTAGTTTTTTGGGACCTGTTCAAAAGGAAAATGTTTCTGAAGCAGATAAAACTTCAGTAAATTTCAATGAAAGTAGTGTCATTCAGAATAATGCTTTTGCAGGCCAAGGTCAGTTGCTTAAAAGTACTAACAATGAGGCCGTTTTTCATGATTTGGAATTGCCAAATTTTGACTTTGATTTTGCCGACATGAATCTTTTCCCGATAAATGAGGGGTTGGCAGAAGCAACAAATCTAAGTAGTTATGCTGCAAATGGCCCACCATTACCAATAGCTAAGCAAAGTAAGGTCAATATTCAAGGTAATGTAACAATTAATAACTATCACTATACGTAGAAGTGTAACTATCTAAAAGAATTTACTAGAATTAAATAATGCTGAATAAACGGACATTTAAAACTGGTTGTTTTTATGTTTGTGTCTCTTGTTTCGGAACGTGCCTTGAAATGATTTCAAAGTCCTCCGAGTTAGAAATATTTCTAACTCCAAGGGAGTTAGAAATATTTCTAACTCCAAGGACTTTGAAATCATTTCAAGGTACAGTCGGAAGTACTTCCTGGGATTTCAAGGTATTGCACGTGGTACAAATGACGATGAGGGATTGGTTTATTACTTCATGAATAATTAATGAGTTTTTGAATTATATTTATATATGTTTTTTAGCCTTTAGATTGTATTTTGATGTATCTTGAGCGATAAATTAGAAAATTTGAGCTACAAACAAACACGCTATGRCTGTCACACGCTACGCAATCGAAACGTTCTGCGCATGCTCTCTTGACTTCATTCTTTGCCACAGGGATCCCATTATTCTATTTTTACACAATTCTTTTGCCTTTAATTAAAAACGAACCTAATTTTCGACAGAAGTTTTTTTAAATAAACAATAACTCTAAACAGTAACTCACATGAGGATACCAATCATTTAGCTTCTTTTACTCCTTTATGTTCAAGGTTTTGGTTTTAAAGCTTGAACTTTACAGTTTTTACCTTCTTAATATTTTTGGTTTACATAGAATTCTTTTAAATAAATAAAACTAATATTTGCTATTTTACTGGCTAGCACTAGCCACATGCAGTCCTAGACTGCGTATTTTTTCTATTGCTGACGGAAGTAACATTCCAAACCAATATGCCTCATACGGGATGGCAAAGACGTTATCGTAAACCCATTTAAGGTTAAACTGTTGTTTTCCTGTCAAATTTCTTTTCGGTGTCTCTGTGTTGTAGAAATGGAAATTGAAGGGACTTATGTCTCCTAATGCCTTGATGCCAAGTTCTTTTGGTATGAATTTGCCTTGGACTGTGTGTCCATCTATGTCGATGATAGCGCCGATTCTGTCCATGTCCTCTTCTCTTTCTTCACATTAGCTTAGTAAGGTCACGACTGGTATCAAGAGAGCGCTAGCAACGCTTTTTATAGGAGGATCCAAACTGTTCCTGTTTCCTTTGAGGTAGGTGAAATTTATTCAGGTATTTCTGTGGGATTTTTGAGCTGAAATGTTACCTTATACTTGCCTTTTAATTGCCCGTGTTTCAATTCGGTTCCATGAAGTCGACAGAGAATCGCTGTCGCTATTTGGTTTTGATAAATGAAAAGGATTAACGGACTTGTATTTGGACGATAAAAGCTTTTTTTCTTGTTGAAAAAACACAAACCAGTTGTTTTTTGTCGATCTGAGTCTTAACATTCCAACCAATTTGATTTGACCTTGGTAGTCAAGACGAACAGCGAATCAGCGCGCGTGTTAGATTTGCTCTGAAGTCAAAAATCTGGAGTCAAGGTCAAAGTAAAGTTATTTCATGCTTTCAAATAAAAATCCTTTTTTTTCGAACTACAATTGATGATTTTGTGCTTTTGCGAATTGTTTTGGATAGAGTAGCTCGCGGTCTTTTTTTAGGATCCCAAAATGTCTGTGTTTTGCCTTTTTAAAACCGTCAAAAATGCCAAAAGAAGTCACCGTTTTCTTTATGAGAATCACTGACCGATATCGACCTAATAGACTAAAAAATGTAGAAAAACGTTTATTTATAAGACACCTAATTCTCTTACTTACTTTTTTTTATTAGACACCTAATTCTCTTACTTTCTTGTTCTAATGGTCAGATGCATGACTTTACGTCAATTTATTTAAAAGAGCCCCGTAATCATTGTTTTTTGCGGCAAAAAAGGCATTTTTCTTATTTTAAAAAACACATGGTCAGCACTTTTTGATCGGAGCGGTAGGAATTTCTCCCCCTGTTTTCTCAGGGGTACGACAGGGGGATATATAAAGTGGCATCACACTGTGGTACGTTACCCATTTGATGGCAAAGTAACAGATAAGATGAGTGTATTCAGTTGGCTGTCTTTTCTTTTTTATATATTTGAATTTTAATCTACCTTTGGTTTTCATTAGGGAGTTATTTATCTGTCTTATCATTTATCTGTCTTATCAAGGCCACATTTCGTTAAAAACAGGTTAGTACGATCGTTTTCGTGTTCTGAGTGACAGCTTTATTATTTGTTTATTTTCTATCTTTTTTTACGAGACTGCTTTTTAATTATTTGATTGTTTTTTGACAATTTTTTGATATTTGATTTTTTTTTTAATCTTTTTTAATAAATTCGATCGTTTTCTCAATTTATTTTGATTCATTTTTTTTATCTAAAATGATTATTCATTTAATTCTTCCTCAATTTATATACATATTGATGGCTCTTTAACGACTGATTATTTTTGATCTTTATTCACGAGACTGCTTTTTAATTATTTGATTTATTTGATTTGTTCAGTAGTTCTTTCCTTTTTAATGAATTCGGTCGTTTTCTCAATTTATTTTAATTCATTTTTTTTATTTTAAAAATGATTATTCATATTCCTCAATTAATTTACATCTTGATGGGGTGATTTATTGATGTTTAACCTTCTTTAGGAGAACAACAATTAAAGAAAAATTAAAAAAACAAGAATAAAAAGAAAAAAGTTTACAAAAAAAGAAAGGTATAATTATTCAAAAGATAATCATGTAGAAATTTCAAAGAAAATTAAATCCTGTGCTTTCCTTCTAGGTAAGTGATCATGCCTATGAAAACCAGAGCAATGTGGATGTTACAGAAGAAGAGAGTGCTAAAGAATTTTCAAAAACTAAAAATATACCATTTTTTACGAAGGAAGTGGGAGTCCGGTCAAATCGTCTTCTACAATCYATTTGGGCCAAATACATTTAACGTTTTTTTAAGACTGTTTTTCAACAAGGGTCTTTTTTTTAACTTCGCAAAAATGAATTCTGAAGTGAACTAAATGTCTTTTGGCGGATTCTGATAAAAAGCGGCATGTACCAGATATCGCATTGAAAACAACAGCAATGATCGATAATCCAGTACAAAATGAACGTTCTATTCTAACAACTATTTTAAAAGATCTTATCGAAAACGATAAAAAGGTTGTCGTTGGAAGGGAGAAACAAAATCTTTCTTTGCAATCATTCTTGATTATGGTGGACCAGCTCTAGCAAAGATTGTAAGGGAAAAGCTCGGTGGTGGCCCTTCTGTGGATACCACATACAGATCAGCCCGATGCAGCTACACAATACCAATCACATTAGAAAAAGATAGCTTTGAAAGATCCTCAATGTTTTCCAAAAACATGAACTATAATGGCCCATTTATTTTAGCAATGGATGCTACCGCAATCATTCCTATACTTAAGGTAAAAGGAAACCGAGTTATAGGGCTTGATTCAGAATCGAACATGATAGTTAGAACAGCTGAGGACATTGACATTGTTCACAGTGGAGACTACGAAAAAGCAAAACAAGCAAATGCTTTCCTTTTGACACCGTTGCTAGAGCATGCCCCCCCTTTTATTCTTTTCGTTGCACCCGCAAGAAAAGGTGAGGACTACGCAACGGTAAAGCATTGGTTTAACGTAGCTATGGTGTGGGCAGGACAGCAAGGCATGATGGTAGTGGTCGTGGGAGCGGATAGCAACTCCAAAGTCAGAAAATATTTTGTCGACCAGTTCTGGAAAAGTAGGCGGGATCAAAACTTAATTACTGATATCACCTATGAATATTTCAATTATCAAATGGTCATTGAAGATATACCAACCCTCCCAAACCCTATCCCTACTATGTTTTTCCCGGACTGGCGTCACTTGATGAAAAAGTGGAGGAACCAACTTCTGAACGTTAAACGTATACTTGTTCTTGGTAACAGAGTAGTTCAATTAGAGCTTTTAATGAAGACCTATGAAAATGACAAAATTCGTTCCGGCTTGTGTAAAAGCGATGTTTTTGTGAAAGATAAGCAAAATGTCCCAGCAGCACTGAGAGTCTTACTGACACAAGTGCGGACATGTATGTCAAAGTGGAATGCTAAAGAAAGCGTAAGCACCAGAATATTTCTTAGGATGGGGGCGTGCATGCTTGAAGCATATACCAATCAAAATCTCAACGTGGAACAGCACGCACTGAACACACGGGCACCGGTGTCTTTTCTGCGTTACTGGAGAGCATGGCTAAAAATTTGTGGTTACAAGACTGATTCCCACTTTGTGTTCACACAAACCTGCGAAGATTTTATCTTGTCAGGTCATTCCATAATTATAGCAATGAAAATCTATGCAAACTTTTTCCCTCAACATCCCTTTCAACCGTGGGCATTTGGGTCAAACGCTTGTGAAGAACTTTTTTCAAAGCTTTGGGGCTTTACCTGTGGAAAATCGAACTTGGCCCTCATGGATATGATTGATTAAAATTAAACGAAATTATATCAAAATGGAAAAAATACAATTTACACGAGGCACCGATCTGGCCACAAGACATGAACAATGAAATATTGAAGGGTATAAAGAATGCTGAAAAAGAAACAATAAAAACACTTGATTGTCTGGGTATGTTACCGGCTCTAATGCAAGGTAACATTTTAAGGCGTGAAGGTGACGATATTGTTTGTGTCCATAACCCAGCGCTTGGTATCATGATAGACTTTGGTGACTTCGAACCTGATGAAAATGAAGTTATTGCAAGTGAGGAACTTTTGGAACTGGATAATGGAGTCTTATTGGAAGAAATTGAGCAAAACCAACAAATTCACCAATCAGCATTGATTGAACTTGTCGCAATGCATTCTTTGACTGACCAAGATGACAGCGATGATACAGAAGATGATGATTATGTTACAAACAAAACACATGCAAATATTTAGAAAAATCTTTCAAGCCCCCAAGAGTGACCAAATGGATCGGGTGCTCATATCCACATTGCGGTCTTTGGTTCCACAAACAATGCATCGCATTTCGTTCTTTTACGGCTGACACGGAATCCAGGAATGAATA